GCAAGTCAGTGTAAATGGAGACACCAAAAGAAAGGTGCCTCCCTGATGGCAAATTTCAAAATCCTCCTACGAGCCAGCCAGGGAATTCTTTTAATAAGAAAAGTAACAAGCAGGGGTTGCTGCCACTCCCTCTATAATAACCACATCTTGTTTATGAGGAAAGAGAATCATACAGTCCTGTCGTCTGGGTACACAATTCCCTATCAGGAAATATAAAAGAAATTGGGGCAATTTAGCCACAATGAAAATGACTGCATATAAGAACCCTTATAATTGTTTTACATTGATCCTCCTTGAAGATTGGGAGGAGGTCTTAAAACTGTACCGAAATAACCAGAGACGTTCCTAGTTTCACCTCTGATAAATGGTGTATACTATTGCATAACTGTGCAGCCAGGGGTGTGCGATTTCCAACTTGGGTAGACGTAGCTGCGCTCTTTAATCAAGCTTGCGCACTAAAAATATCAGTGTAGCCACAGTGGCTTGGGCTAGCTGCCCCATGTACGGTCTCGCCCCACCCCCCCCCCCCCAACCCCCCTGGTATGTATTCGGGCACCTAGTCCCTGCTGCCGCCTGCGCAGGCATATTTACGCTGTTATTTTTTGCATGCCAGCTCAGTCAAAGGTAGCAGGTGTACCGAGCCAGAAATTATGTCGCCGGCTGCAATGTGGATATAGCCACAGTGTGCTGAGGGCACTGCTAAGCCTTTAAAGTTGCAACAGACATTTTGGGGAGAGAGGGGAACAGGTTCTTAACTTGAGCATTAGACAAAAGAGAGAATATTACACAATCCGTAGAGAGGGAAGACCAATGAGTTTTCATGAAGCATATGGCTGTATCGCATGCTACAACAGGGCATATTAATGGTCATTCTCTTTTTCCTCAGAAACTTGTTCACACAGGGTATAGGTCACAGCAGTTGCTGAATTTAACTAGGGAAATATTTAACAGAGTTTTTAAAATGCCTAAACACAATAAAGGAACCACTCACTACCTCTTTTGGACATGAAAACATCTATATACAAGCTACTCATCAGTCTTCCCTCCTTATGGATCAGTCATTCTGCTGGATTCGACCGTCTTAAACAGTGTATTTGACCTACGTAGTCAAGTAAGTTTGTGCCATGCAGAAGCAATAAATCAAATCACAGAATGAAATGATTTAATCAAAAGTGGCTGGCTTGCAAGATTTCAAGAAGTCTTTTTGACCCCTTCATCTTAGAAAACATGCTTCAGAGCCATGGATTCAAAGTCTTTATGGCTTATCATTGTGTAATCTCTTGCTATGATAATTATAACAGGAATTGCTGGGCTATATTTTGTGCTGAAGTAAAATATTATAACAATTTATGCTATTGTTTCACAGTGTGGTATCATAATGCAGCTCTGTAGTTAATAACATAGCTCTGTATTGCCAGGCTACATATAATGACTTATTATACCAGTCCAGATTGGGAGTCAGAAAGCACAAATTAATTTTCCTGACTGAAGAGATAGAAATTCAATCTCAGCAGTCTAAATTCTAGATGTTAATTAGTTTGGATGAGATCAAAATTATACTTGTAATCTAGCTGTGCGCTCAGGTTGGAATGTTTGGGTTTTTTGGTTTGTTTTTGATAGACAATGAAGCCAAAATCAATGCGAGTTCAAAGACATTAATAAAAGAGTTTGTTGAAACCCTTTAAAATAATACATTAATAATGCAGGTTATGGTAGTTCAACATTGTAGACAGAAAGCTAGATATGTCAGGGCAAATTAAAGAGCTAAAACTTGCATTTCTTGCTAAATTAATAGGCTTAAAAAAGAAACTAGTATTTTTTTTAATGGAGGAGAGGCCTAGGGAAAAAGACTTTAGCAAATCCAACTATTTGAAGATTCTTTCGAAATAGGAAGCTGAGTTACCATTAAAAACAAAAGAAAATAAATATTTATTTTAGATTCTTTATATAGAAAGCTTGTTATGAGATTTAATAAGCAGTGCACATCAGAGGCTGGAGATATAATCATCTTCTGTTGAACTGGCTTTTGAATTAGAAAGAGAGTCCAAACTAGATAGCCTGAATGTCCTGGGATGTGAGTCAGTGACATATCAGACACAAAACTACCTGCAGTGCCTTTTAAGGCCTTGTTTGTAAGTTACAAACATTTATAGTCGGTGTGTAATCGTGAAGGCAGTCAGGGTAGGCTGTCTAAGATGGGCCTTGGTGTTCTCACATACATCACTCAGAATCCTGGAGGCTGCATTTGGCATTGTCCAAAGCCTGCTGATGGTAACAGTATTGTATTATCTGAGGCAGTGAAGCACCGCAAAAAGTAGACTGAAGTCCAATCAATGCTGCAAGACACACTAGGATGTATTAGGACCTCAGCTTCAGCCAGAAAATGTCCATTTGTTTAAAGGAAGAAAAAGGCATGACATTTAACACATTTAAAATTGATTATTTCATCAATAGGTTAATAGAAAACCAGGCTGCAAGTTCACTTCCTGCTTATACATCCATTCTCTAATGTGCGATTAGAGTATGAAAAATGAAAGACATAAAGCAGACTGGGAAAGGGGCTTTATGTACTGGAGACAGCTTCCCCTTTCAGAGGGGTGCTAAGTCTAGACTTTGCTATTTATATGCAAATTTTTTCAGAAAAAGTAAGTTTTCAGCGGGGAGATTGAGCCTCTTTAGTTGTTACTTCCTGCTGTGACTTGCTAAATGTCTCTTAAAACTAAAGGCTCATAATATTAAAGGACACAGTAGACACAGTCACTTTTAGGCTTGACCAACTTAAATGTGTAGATAAATCTGACTGAATCGGTTGGTCTTCTGGATAATATTGTAGATTTTCATTTCAGTAATAGATTATCTATTTTTTAAAGTTAAGGGGATGGGTGACGGCAGTCAAGTGTCCAGGTTTCCATTTTCCCCCCTTATCAATGCATAGTATTAAAAACTGAATGCCACTGCATTGAAAGAATGTATATTGTTAACGTTCTAGGGTGGCTGGGTACTGCTGTTCAATTACAGTTGAATTACCATTTTATAATAGTGTTACTGGTTGCGTGCAGATTGTAGTTATCATTCTCAATGCTGTACCTGAGGAATTGCTCCAAATAGGCAACTTTCCTAATATAAGATAGTAGAACAGGGTTTCTCCTTACAGCACTAAACTGGATTCAGCATATGATCACGTCACCTACTGTACGAATCAGGTTACATGCTCAATCTTCTGATTGAGCTACTTGTCCATTACGGGAAAACAAGTATTTTTCTATTCTTAGCCATTCAACTGAAGATACAGCTTTTTGTTAAACATTTGAATGAGTTAACTGTAATGTTACTTTTCCGTATAAACAATCTTTTGGTTAAGCGCTTCTTGGCATTATAAAATACATCTAGAAAAGAAAACAAGTAAAAGACTTTTTCAGAGTTTGCATATTTTATTTGTTGTGTGCATATCATCTCAAAGGTTGAAGGAGCATACTGGGCAGGAGTGGGAGAAACAATATATACACCTAATTATGACAGATTTGTTACCAACAGATCCCATGTTGACTGAGATGGTAGACTAACCAGTTCCAAAGTGTGCACTACGATGCACCATCACAATTAACCCTGCAGTATTTGACCGCCTTAGACCAAGATTTGAACGAGGGGAGAGATTAGGTGGAATATAAGGCCTGCTGAAGTGTCTATCAGTTGGTACTTGTCTCATTCTCTTCTGTCTGGCTTGAAGATAGGTATGAGCTCTAATACTGCTGACAGCTGATGGAGGTTTGCCTTTATCCCTGTTAGTATTGTGAAGTCTGTTCTCCACGCTGCATGTATACAGTTACCTGACAATCGCAATGCCTGCTACGCTGCTTTACCACCTCATCCTGAGAAGTGGCCCCAGTAGGTAACATTTGAGACCTATTTTGGGATAGCGACGGGGAAGCTTGCTCTGCTACTGTCCATACATACAAGTTTGGTGGATAAATAACAGATAAGATTTTCCAGTGTGTTAATGTTGGTGGTTGTTAAATGCCAACAGTGTTTTTCTGTGCCTGGTGTTGTTTTGAAAAGAAAGATACAGGCCCTGCCCCATGAAAGTTACTCTAAAAATATTGTTAGTCTAGTGTATTTCTCATGTTGTGAATTAGCTTTTGGGGAGAAATATATAGATTCTGCTAAAAGACAGTGAGAGAATTAATTTCCCATAATGAGCAGAGGATTTAAGTGCTTTTTGTACCGTTCTGCCTATTAACGTCAAAAATGGGAACTTGAAACTGAGAGAGATTTAAAAGTTTTATGGAATTCTAATAAAGCAATGGTGGCATTACAGTTTACCTTCCAAACAAGAATTTATACTTTGCCAGTAACCTGCCTCTGAAAAACCAAGATGTGCATAGTAACAATGTCTACTTGACATTTATAATAATAATAATAAAGTAGAACAGCTAAGCATAACATTAGAAATAATGCTTATGGTGGTTTAGATTATTTGAACCTATTACATCATCACCTGGAATTAAAGGTTTTACGGTTACAGGTATCTAGTGATTCGTGCATCCTCTTAGCAAAAGGGGAAATCCTTTGTTTGGCAATTTTTGCTATGATTTAAACAGCATTATACCTCGGTAGTTGTCTTGTCTCTAATAGTGCATCATGTATACAAGAAGTACTGAGTGCATTTTCTATTCCATTGTCATTGCTATTTTAGATCCAATTATTATTGACAAGTCTTGTCATGTTGTAAAGTCTTGAAAGTATCTTTTTCAGGGGGGGGGGGGGAAGGAGCAAGGCCTTCTGTGTTGGTGGTGGTTCTGAGAAGCTGTGGTGTTCTGTGTGCATTTTGTGTGTGAGTGTTTGTCTGTGTAGCTGTTTCACATATAACAGGCTTGTGCTGGTATTTTACTTCACATGCTACTTTGACATTTCTTTTCTCCCCCTTTTCATATTTTTCTTTTCTTTATATTTTATTATTTTCTCTTTTTTTTTTCTCTTCCCCTTCTGCTCTCTGGATGCAGCCAAACGCAAAGCATGGAAACTAAACCGTGTTGGTAGCCTGCGAAATATATACAGCAGCAGCAGCACCAACACTGAAGGTAACAAATTAAAACAACACGTTTTAGATGAACACCTTACCCTCTCTCCCCTTTTTACCTGCCTCTCCAGACTTGTTCCCCCTTCCTCTCACTTTCCAAATGCAGGAATGGAAATCAAATTTGCCCAAAGCATGCGTGCTTTCACCTTTTGTTTGCAGAGTCATTCCCATGGTCTTTTCATCTTTTTGTTTGTGCGTTTTATTTTGCCATTCATGTTCCTTTCAGCTTACTTAAATTCTGACCTTTCCCTCTAGTCGTGGAGTGGTGATGTTTAAATTACTTCGGGAACCCATTTTCTTTTATTTATTTATTTTCCCCCCTTTATACATGTGGGCACTCAATGTAATATTTCCCAAGTTATTACAGTTTTTAAAAGTGTTAGTATCAGGTGTAATGATCTGTAGCCAAATACAATAGTGTGCCGTGACATTTAAGTAACAGTCTTAATTTGTTTTGTGAAAGCGTTCTCCATAATGCTCTTTGCAGCTCTAATCCAAAGGCGAGACAGAGCCAGGTCATTTGCATGTGCTACTCTTGCTTGTAAATTCTGTATATTGTTGTATTTCTAAAGGTCGCCTGGTGCCAAAGTTCACAAATTGACTTACATTGCTTTTTTCACTGAAGACAGCCGTCATGCCTTTTGTATAATAGCAGATTGAATTTTTCCCCACCTTCATTTGAACAACACAATTATAAACTGTCTTCTTTTTTTATTATTATTACAAATGTCAGAGGTCAAAATTACTTGGAAGCCAGGCAAGGAGAAAAACCCTCGGCCACCATCTCAGACAGCGAGTAAGAGGGGATGGTATATGAAATATGGAATGCAAAATAGGTCACATCTCGGTAATCTTGGTATTATAGGGGGGAAATCTTTTTTTCACTTAAGTGCGAACCAAATGGGTCAAGTAATCGCAAGCGCATGCCCTAACACTAATTGACTTATTTTGGAATGATTATAACTGTAATATTTTTCTTAATGTCACTGTTTTCTGGGCTGTTGATTTTAGCGATTGCCAAGTAGTGGCATTAAATCTCTTGTAAATTTTAAATTGCATGCTATTTCTGTAAACAAGTCCCTCTGTTCACATCCTGATCATTAACCTTTGGTGATTTATATCACCAGCCTTTTTTTGCACAATTACTACCGTATTGCTGTCGGATGCCTTGCTCTCACCGACAGATAAAATGTGTCTGGGAAACAAAAGTGTGTTTTTTACTGCAGCTTGTTAAGGAAACACATTTTATTATAATCTTGTTTTATTCCTCATTGTAAACTTAAAATTCTCACCTTTTAAGTAACAATAGAGCTATATCCATTGTGATACTTTTGTGTTACCTTTTAAAGCATTTAAGCGCAAAGTGTGAAATGAATTGGAGAGAAATAAATACTAGTTGCTGAACATGAATAAATAAGTGTTTTGCTATTTAAAAGGAAACTTCTGAGATACTTTTTTGTAATTTGCAAAATGTGTTCTTATTTTTGTCACTGATGATCTCTTTTAGACATGTTTTTTCCCCCAGATCAAACATGCAGGCATGTTTGCTATTGTAGGATGACTCTTGACAAGCATGGGATTTATTGTTCTATTTTTACTAAAATTTTAACAATAAAATAAATAGAAATAATTGCATATATTTTACAGAAAGGGAGTTCATATTTGGGGGCCTGTTCAATCTTCGGTGCCATTTAACATACTGATACCTTTCATATTAATATATGGGTATGCTAGGGGTATGTTCATCTGTGGGAGAACATAACTGTAAAAGTTGAACTCCTAAGACTGCAACTAGCAGCACCAATGAGATTTTTCTCTATCTTAACTGATTAGGCAAGGGGGAGGGGTGGTCTTTCTCAGAAGTACTCACCACATGGGAAAGAGAGAGTCCAGGAAAATTGTGAGTAATAATCGTGCATCTTTGAGCTACTAAACAAAGTCTCTGGATAATGGCCGGCATTGCAAAACTGGGGAATGCGCAGTTAATCAGGAGTATACATAGTAGGAGTCTGTCACCGTGCCTCAGTGGGTCACAGCTGAAAATACCGGATTCAGGACAAACTGCTGAGAAATGGGGCAGACCTCCCTCCCCCAAACTGGTGGTTATTCCTTCATAAAATATACTAAGCCAATATCAAAAGTAAACTTCTGTCTCACCACACTGGTTAACAAGAAGTCATAAATGCAGTCTCCTCGGGTATCTCAGCCCTTGTTTCACCATCTAGACAGTAGACTTAATGATGAGTGGTTATTTAAAGCCAATTTCATCAAAGGGTTCTTCTAATCCCAAGAGATCAGCCACATAGCCAGGTCAATATAGAACTCAGATCTTACCCAATAATCATGCTGTTGCCAATCCTTTAGTATCTAATATCTAAAGGTTATTTATAAGAGGAAAGAAAGAGGAGAGAGTTATAATGGTCAGCGAAAACAAATACACTCATTGCAAAGTTCTTGTATCAGGTTTGAAGCAGTGATGTTATAAACTGCAGGCTTGTAAAGTCTCTGGTAATTTCCAAAAGATTGAAAGGTCACCTTTGTCCGGCGTATCCTCGTCTATCCCTCCACAAACACAAGTCGACACCACACCATTCTGTTTTGTTGCAAGCACGTTCCTTCCATTTCTGGCCAAAGAGCTTAGTCATGGGATCGGCCCAGTGTGTTTTCGGTCTGCCCAGCGATCACTTGTGGTCTCTGGGGATCCAGTCACTGATGATTGAAAGGTACTCAGTCCATTAGTAGAATGTTCCTGTTAGTGTAATTCCATAGTCCAGAGATCAGAGCAGGAAAGAGGCAAAATGCAGATGCTTCTAGGGTTTTTTATATCTTCTCCCATGTGGAGGGACTGCTCTCAGTCTTAGTTTGTGGGAAATAACAGGCACAAAAAGGAGTCCAGGGTCACATGAGCTGGTCACATGCCCTTGCATGCTTCGATGAGTCATGGAAACAGTCATTACCCATATTCTGGCTAAAACGTCCCCAGGAAGGCCCATCAGGCGGGGACAGGCTTCTTCCATCGTCTGTTGCGCGAGCTAAGTGTCCTTTAATGGACCATCAATTTGAATAGTCCATTCACAATGTGCTGGCCAGACTGGATGTAAATTACCTTGTGGGTGTTATCCCAGGAGCAAACACACTTGAAATACTAATACTAGTTAATATTCATAACTTTAGATACAAAGATGAAACATGCATACAAATAGGATAATCATATTTGACACACTGTAACTTTTCCATTAACATATTTCATATAAATTTGTCATAATTACATAACAGTGGTGGCAATAGTGATATCTATTGTCATATTTTAATCATACAACAAGTCCTAAGTGCCGCCAAACAGCTGTTTGGCGGCGGGGGAAGCGCTGGGAGGGAGGAAGGGAGGAGGAGGAGGTGGAGAAGAGGATCTTGTGCAATGCTCCCTTGTAAAGTCAGCCAAACAACGTTATAAGGGAGCATTGACCAACTTTAAATGAGTATGTTCCCTAATGGAGCAGCGACGTAACTTCGAAACAATGTTAAGCGGGAGGACGGTAAATGAGGAGTTACTGTATTCTGTTGGAACTCTTGCATCCACAAACTGACTAGGCTCATCATTTCTTAACTGGGATCTTGTCAATATCCTAGCCCATGACAGCATGGCTTTAGACCAGTGGTTTTCAACTTTTTTTTCATTTGCAAACTCCTACAAAATTTCAAATGTAGATGTGGACCCCTTTGGAAATTTTAGACGTAGTCTGCGACCCCCAAGCATCTGCAGACCACAGTTGAAAACCATTGCTTTAGACTATTGATTTTTTGACATGCAGAGAAGTCCCATAGAGAAAGAGAGCTAACAAGAGCTGGAGCGAAACCAGGTCTCACTCCCTAGCGTGTTACCATTAGGTCATTAATATATAATAGGTAATATATGCTAAAAGTGATCAGTGGAATCCCAGCAATTCAACATCCTTACACCCCAGGGCCCAAATTCCATCCTCATTTAGACTTGATCAACCATGCTGATTTCATTGGGAGTTATGTGGATGTAACTGAGGGCAAAATTTGGGCAATGGTACCAGTCCAAGTAATAAAAGGGACTAAATTTGTCTAACTTCTATAATCAGAAAAAAACAAAGTTGTTTAGACCAATAAGGTCGTCTGTGTTCAAGGAATTGCCCCCTCCCTCTTACCTGCAATTTAGTGAGACTCCCATTATATAGTTATTCACTGATTTAATTCTACATTTGCAAGGCCATTATTAGGGTTTGCTGCAAACATTAGGTTTAAGATTTTATTCTACAATAGAGAAGTGACAAGTTGAATTCTTATTGCAGGCAAAGCAATGGTCGCTCTGCGTGAAAGATCCAAAATGTTTAGAGGGGAAGGTATATAATGTAAATTTGGTATGTTTATAAAAGACACCTGACCCCTCTCACCATTGTAATTTCAATTATCGTCGTTATGCTGTTTAAATACAAATGTGATTTTTCAGCGATCAGCACATTTGAAGCATTGTACACCAGTGTAACTTTCTAAAATTAAAGAAACAAATGCTGTGCTTGCTCAGTATGCTATATTTAAACATCTATAATTATATCAAAACCACATTTCTTCTAGTCTTCATTCAGGGCTGCATGCATGACAAGTTTCAAGTATTAAACCCAAGTTGTATTTGAGTTATAAAAAAAATCTGAAAATGTCTAATCATATGAAAAAAATTGTCCATGTTCATTAACTCCAAAATGCCTGATCAGATTCTTATGAAACAGTCCCTTCAAAAAAGTAATACAGAAGTGACATTTCTGCTATAACCATGGCTTTGCTGCCTTGACACTATCGTTGTCTCATTTAAATGTACTTAAGTGTTAAGAAAGCTCTTAACATTTGAATTATATGTCCACTTTGAAATGTAAACTATAGAACGGCAAACTGAAATGTGAAATTGTTTTTAAAAGTATTAGGAAAATTATCAGTCTAGCATTGACGTAGATTCTGCATAAACTGACTGAAAATGATTTC